CCCTTTTCTCAGAGCACAAAACTAAAACCCAACTTTTACCCTACTCCAGGGTCTGTTGCAGAGTCCCACATACATGGGCCCACACCAAAACTAACTGCTTGTCCAAAAATCCTCCCCCCTCCCTCGTGGGATTGACAGAAAAGCCAGCCTGCTTCTTGCAACTTCTCCCTCTTGACCCAGCACCCTCGTGCCAGCACTCGGTCTCAGCTCTATGTATAAGCAACTGTATGATCACAGACATTTGTAGAGCCAGATGGAAACCATCTCATCAGAGCTCTTGTCCCTACCTAAGCCAATCACCAGGCTGCGATCATCCTCTGATCAGCCTCTGCTGGAGGACCACAAGCTGACTGACTACAAGGAGCATAGTCAATGTTTCTTAGTGGTACAGCTGAAACTGCTTCTGCTCTCCCATGGAAGAAGATAAACTCATTACAAACTCTTATGATTTGTAACACCACCTTCCTCCATCTCTCCCTCCCCAGAAATGCTGCCCTCTGTGCAGATGCAGCCTCTCAGGATGTTCCATTCAACCGCATCAATAAAAATCAGGAGTGAGATTCATTTTCCTGGAACTCTTGGAAACTACATGCATGACTATAAGCTTTTACAGCCTCAGCCCAAAATGCCACCCCTACTTCAATACAGGCTGCTTGCCATAATGTCACAAGCACGCAACAGGGGCCTTCATCCCTGCTGTGGAAACAACAATGCTATTGCGTTTGGTTTTCTGTCAGGGACACTTGGACGATCCGCTCAGTGGTGTTTTGGAGACATCAAATCAATGACACAATCACCCACTGATCAAGGGAGACCCCGGTCAGTCACCTGCAGGGCCATCTTTTGCCATCAGCCATTAGTCTTCAGCCATTTAGCTGGCAAATGATATAAATTATATATAGAACTGAAAGAATATGGGAGGTCCATTATAAGTAAGTACATTTTGGCTACCTCTCTGAACTTGGAAGTTACAGGGAAAAATCTCAGAGCTAGTGCATCTCCAGTGATCTGAATCTTATTTCCCTCTCATTCACTCCAGAGAGAATGACAAGTGATGCCAGTGGAGTCAATGGAATAAGAGTGGGTCAAGGCTGAGAAAGAGACTCACCTCTCTCATCCAAACAGACCCTACATTATTGCTGCTTGGCTCCCTGCTGACCAGGGATCTCATTCTCCTCTGCAGCACATCTCAGGGGCTCATTTTCCCCAGCATAAAGAGTAAGCAAAAATGCCAGTAGATCAAAATGACAGTTTTGCATGTTATCAGCTGCAAAGACAGTGGAAATTCAAGACAACCATATCTGTAACAAAAGAGGGACAGCAGTGATATGAATATCTTTGCTTTTCATTTGATAGCATGAACGTGCTATGCAATAAGCTGAAAATATTATGAGAGCCCCCAACTTGAATCTTCGCCAAGTGAACTATTTTTAGTGGAGTGTGTTTAGCTTGCTTGTTAAAGATTTAAACCTAGGCAATAATTGCAGTTACTCTTCTGTCTGATTTAAGTAGGCAACATTTATTAATGTACAGTGATTAAGTCAACTATTCCAAAGTAAGCCACAAAGACTTAAAGTGATGAGGAAACAGGATGATATCCTGGCTGAAGAAAGTCAACCCTGTGATCTAAGTAAGATCTGATCCATAATAAAGAGCTTATTAAGGCAGAGTGGTGGGAAGAGAGCTGCAAGTTATGAAGAGGAATTTGATTTTTCCATCTGAAGGCAAACCGATAACTAACTGATCAGAGCAAACTCTGTCATAGATTTTATAGACCCAGTTATAGGTCTGCAAACAGCTGTTGGCCTAGAGTAAGTCTATGCGAGAGCTGGATTCAGATTAGGAAAGAGATTCATCCATGATCAAACCCCCAATCCATTTTGTTATTCTGTGTTCACACTTACACCTTAAATCAGAGTTCAGTACCCTGCAAATTCACTCCTTAAAATGTCCTGGTTGAGCAGCAAAGCTCTCCTGCCCTGTCTGTTTTGCAGGTGTACAGGTGTGTACAAGCTCTTTAGCAACAGATAAAACAGGATATAATCACCCTGCGTGCCGAGGGGGAGGGAAGTTGCTTTTGATGATGGTGTTCTGAACACTTGGAATGCCCAGTGATTTTCGCTTAATTCTTTTATGCTGAAGAAAATAAGTCTACAAATAGATCTACCTGCTTCAGCTATTTTCGCAAAACAGCTCATTAAATAGAAGCACTTTTTTTCCCAAAGAAGCCTGGTACGTATCCAACGGGTAAAAGGATAAATGGCTATAATCTTTGAATACACAAGACGACACAGAGTGGGTATTTCAGAGCTGCAGAAAGCCCATAATTGAACTTCTGCCCTAGGGGTAAGTTTTCCAGCAGCGTAAGTGCTTCCAGATGCCATACAGGGGTCATGTTCCTTGTCAGGAAAGCACAGCTTTACATCCAGTTAATTGTTATCCCCAGCTGTCTTTTTTTTTTTTTTTTTTTTCCCCTTTGGGTTTCTCTTTTAATCCTAGAAAGCACATGTGATCTGTGAAGTCCCAGAAAAGTGGCTGGAGGCTGGGAAGATAGTAGAAAGGATATGCCCATTTCACAAGACGACACAGAGTGGGTATTTCAGAGCTGCAGAAAGCCCATAATTGAACTTCTGCCCTAGGGGTAAGTTTTCCAGCAGCGTAAGTGCTTCCAGATGCCATACAGGGGTCATGTTCCTTGTCAGGAAAGCACAGCTTTACATCCAGTTAATTGTTATCCCCAGCTTTTTTTTTTTTTTTTTTTTTTTTCCCCATTGAGGCTAGTTTTCCAACAGTCATTCAAGCAAATGTGCTCATTTCCCAGTTCCCCCGCAATTCCCCACCACAGTGTAACAAAATGCAGATTTTCGCGTGGCTACATTCCAAACTCCGTGGTGCTAAAATCATAGCAGCAAAGGAAAAGCATGTAGCCGCAATAATCATACTGTAGGACTTGAACTAGAGGTGACTCAGTGGTAGTCAATCAGATGCTATATGAAAATAGAACGGTTTCTATGTACGGAGTGGTTAACCCGTGGAGTTAGTACTCACATGTAAAGGTTTGCATGGCTTGCTGCTAAGCAGCAAAAATTACTCAGTCTGAATTAAACTGATGACCTCAATTCAGCTCACTGTGTCTGGGTGTCCATCTCAGAACACAGTGACCATGAACAGCAAGTCCCTGCTCCCATAATTCCTTTGGGCTTCATCTTTGGTGTCAATCACGCCCAAAAAAAAGGCAAAGACCGTGTCCATCCAGAATTCAGATCTCCTCAGCTCAGTAGCAAAATGTTTGCTGATTTGGGACAACTCAACGGTGGCTGAGAGAGGAAAGTTCAGAGCACAGCCTGCTGCAGAACAAACTGAAAAAATTGCAAGGAAGACAGCGGGTATAGGAAAAGGGCAACACAGCCCCTTCATCTTCCTCAAAGTATTAATGAGAAACTCTTGTGTGTGCAATCTGCTATGCCAGTCCCTTGTCACCAAGCACCAGCTACCACCTGCTTGGGTTACCAGACTTGTTGGTTGAAGAACAGCCTGGAGGCGTTCACAGTTCAGGCTGCCGAGCAACTGACCATTAAACACTCGAGACCAAAGCCTAGGGAAGGATTTTACCCCAACTTGCTCAATTTTACCAATAATAGCTCTGGATGTGGCAGCTTCAGGCCACTGTAGTTGTGTTTTTCAGACTGCCCTTCAATACGGATACAGTCCTACCTAATTAGCCCTCACCACTCCTCCTTCCCTCAGAAAACAACCCAGCTTTTTTAGTCAACAAAAGATCACTTAATCATTGTAATAAGAAGAGGCTTGACATTTACATCAACCTACTGCTAATCTCTTTGGTGTCTATTCTCTGGATTCCCCCAACAGGGAAACCCACACTATTCTGTGGGATTCCTGTTGAAAGTTGTCACTGCCTGATGACAAAAAGCAAACATATGCCATAATGTTTAAAGGTCTGGAGCTAGATATTTAGAGCTCAGTAAGCACCTGGACCTCATAATGTTGCATTTTCCCCAGCAAAGTTCACCAAATTTTGGAATATCTGAAAACTACGTTGGTTTTTTTTAGCATTAGTTCATAAACAAAAAAAGCAGAGGGGTATTTGGAATATCTGAAAACTACTTTTTTTTTTTATCATTAGTTCATAAACAAAAAAAGCAGAGGGGAAGTATGTTACCATCACAATATTCTTCTTCTGTCATACCTCTCCTGAGCTTCTTTCAGACCAGAAAGCAAACAGGTTGTGCCAAGCTGCCTTCTCTTTGAGGGCTTGTGTGAAGGCTAGGATTTGGATTTTCTGATTTGTTAGCACAGATAATTCCCACTCACGTTCCCCCTTGCAAGAGGAGAGTGAGGAAAGCCACTTGCTACACTGTGAACTTTCAGGAAAGATTGTCAAGCAGCATGTCCCTTGTGCTCCTCCCTGTGCTGAAACTTCACCAGTTCAGACAATTTCTTACTCCTGTTGTTGCAATTAACCTTCAGAGAAAACTACAATCTTATGCGTATGAGGGACTGATCCAGATTATTAGCCTAGAAACTATGTCCCTCCTGCAATTCCACAGTTGTTTCTCCTTCCTGAATGAAATCCTGACCCCTTCCCCATAGCCCTATAGCTCACTCAAAATTAAAGGACAATTATCTCCAACAAAGAGAGAGGTGATCACATCTCCTTCCTTAACTGGGACAACAGAAAATTGAAAAGCCCTACACTCAGTGCTGCTCCTGAAAGATCCTGCAGAAAATTGGGCAGAGTTTTACCTGTAATCTGGCCCCATATGCTAAACATTGCAAAGAGAAAAAGACAGGGTCAGCATCATCTCTGACAGCCAGAACATAATATGCTAGGATGAGGAGCTCGTGGGGCTGGTGATCAGCCTCTCTGGGGATCTGTGCTTGGCTCCTCTTCATATAATGCCTGCCTCCAAGCACAAACTCCCACCTGGCCCCACTGCCCCCCTGCCAGCCCCCCCAAATCAGTACTGCTTCATACTCACCATGTCATAAACATTCAGAATCACTGGTTCATTTGCCATTGTTGATTGCAGTAGAGGCTGGATTAAAACCTTTCAGTCCCTGCCAGATGTGTGTTGCTGCCCCCAGGGTATGCTTTTACCCTGAGCCAGATAGAAGGAAATGCCTCATCCTACAGTCTCCAAAGGAAGGAGCGTGGAGGGAGGAGGAAAGGAGGAAATTCTCGAGGCTGGGGGGGTAAAGTTGGTTGGAAGGAAGGCTTAGGGTGGCTTTGCTGCTTGTCTAGGGTTTACTTAACCCCTCCACAGCGTGACAGATCCGAGGTTTCTTTCTAACCCTGTAGCGCACCTCGGGGGTCTGTAGACTCATACACCGCTGTAACCAGGCACCGTCCGAGCTTGTAAATCCCGATCCACAGAAGACAAACAGGCTCCGAGCCCAAAGATAAGCCCTCTTCTGGCTCCGTGAGGGAGGCGAGTGGTAGCGTGCGTGCGTGTGTGTGTGTATCTCTCGGCGTCCTTCTCGGCAGAGCGGCGTGCTGCTACAGCAGAGGGCTGCCGGCGGTACGCAATACACCGGGGCACCGAGGCAGGTCCGGAGCCGGGCTCCGATGTCCCCTCTGCGGGCTCCGATGTCCCTTCCGCGGGCACCGATGTCCCCTCCGCGGGCACCGATGTCCCCTCCGCGGGCAGAGCCCGGCGACACCCCGCTGCCCGGTCCCGGTCCCAGCCCGCCGGCGGCCGGGAGCTGTCCGAGGTGCTGAAGCCCGGCCGGCGCTCAGGCGCTCCGGGGAGGGCTCTCCGCCCCCGGCAGGACACGGGGAAGAGGCTGTGGCAGAGGGGCTCCAGCCAGGAGCCCGGCGCTGGGAGGAGGAAGAGGAAGGGGCCGGTTGCCCCCGGGGCAGAAGGGGGATGCCGCAACCCCCATCCTGCCCGCAACCCGTGGAGTCGGAGCCGAAGTTAGAGGGCAGTTCTCCGCGGGAGATAGCGCGGGGTTACCCGGCCGCCGGAGGGAGGAAGATGCCGAGCGGGCGGTGCTTCCAGGCACGGTGCGGGGCCGGGCACCCCCAGCTGTGCGTGCTCCGCTCTCCGCCAGGGTCAGTCCTTAGTACGGGATCAGCTCGTCCCGAGCCGGGCAGCCCCTACCGACTGACGGCCGGGGGGACCTACCCCGTCCTCTACTGGCTGGATGCATCTCGGCACGGCACACGGTGGGAGGGCGGGGAAGGGACGAAGCCGCCGGGCAGGGCGAGTATGGAGTTGCACTTCTGGCAGCGGCAGGGTATGGAGTTTTCTTCTGTCCTGGAGCTACTTTACACTCGTGTTAGACGCGGGCAGCTCTGCAAACACCCCCCCTCCGACCGGGACGCGAGAGGCAATTGTAAAATCCACTGCGGTAAATTCATCTTCCTTTTGCTCCTCCTCTCCTCTCTCTTTAAAGGGAGAGCAGGGTCTGTGATGGTGCTGGGAATGGGTAGAGCTGATGGGGGGAGAAGGGGGTTCCTGCACACAGAGACTTGCAGTGGTGTGGGGATTAGCACGCTGACCTTAAGCGTTCAGACACGGCAGACTCTTTTTGGAGCAGCCCAAAAAAAAAAAAAAAAAAAAAAAAAAAAAA